AACAGCAGGATTTTGTAGCAGATAGATTAAGGGATTAGTGTACGAGTGGCTCTTGTTTATTTCTACCGTTTTAACACACCCAATCCTACTCAATGCATGCATAAACTGTAAAAATATCTTTCAGTTATCTATGAACATTTGAAACAAATGTACACATCGAGAATTTTCTGACAAGCAGACAGGACTTATAAAAACAGAAGTTAGAATAATTTTTTTTATTATTGGAGTGTAAGGATTCTCACGTTGAAACAGTGATATCCACACATTCTCAGTAGTAATTCAGATTTATAAATGAACAGCAGAAGAAAGACCTCGTTCATGCTTCTTTGTTGAAACAAATCGAAGAAAAATTGAGTGACACACTGTAGTGAATATTTGCCAAGGTTCAAGCAAGCAGAAGTTATATTCATTCATACAGAATTCGATATAAATACATCGAGTGAAAACAATTGCTGTCAATTCCACTCAAACATGAGATAGTTACACTATTCTTCACTAAAGAAAATCAAAAAGAGTAAGAATGGAACGATATTTTTGTAGACGTACATAGAGAATAATTTAATAAAAATTGTCGAAATAGTTTTGCAGAAGAAAATTAGAACAGTTTTGTTGAATCTGCATATATTATGACAAACATGTCATTATAAAAGTTAGTTATTTTTAATACAAGTTAAATTTACTTACAGCGAGGTAATTCTGAGAACATAAGATAGGCAGACGACACAGTACTAATAGCAGAAGCAGAAAAGAATTACAAAACCTCCTGCAGAAGGTAGCGAAGGAGAGCGAGAAGAAACTAACCATAAACGACAAGATGACAGCAGAATACATGGTCATCAGTAAAAGGATGTGTTCGAACTGCTATTTTCAGGCTCGAGGCAACAGAGATGTGGTTCTACAGAAGGATGATGAGGATATAATGGAGTTAGCATGTGAGCAACAATGAAGCATATACTTATCATAAGGAAGATGCAGATGAAATTTCTGGGACACGTAATGAGAAAGGAAAGCCTGAAGAATCTGATACTCACGGGTCGAATAGAGGGAAAGAGAGACAAGAGAAAGCAACGCATGAAATACCTGGAGGGCTTAAGAAAGTGGATGGCAGGACGTGGTCTGGGGGAGTTGGCAGAGGCACGAAATTTATTAAGAGCCACAAGGGATAGGGGAAAGTGGAGAGCCATGATCGCCCACGTCCTGAAAGGAAACGGCACATTAAAAGAAATATAACGATACGTTAAAAGTAAATTAATGAAGACAAAACCTCTAAGAGCTGAGTATGTGTCGATAGAGAGACAGGGCGAGATAGGAAAACGCTGACAAGATTAATTGTATTCTCAAAAAATGTTTTAATTTGAACATGGGTGAATGAAACAATTTCTATTGCTCTAGGAGATATTTCATTATTCCATTGATAGTATTTAAAATGCAGGTATTGGATGGGCTCTTGTTTAATTATATTTATTATTTTTTTTTATTTTCTGTTTTACAGCCAATCAATCTCTTTGGATTAGTTAATGCCAAATGCTAAATATTTTCTTTTATTTATATTTTTTTAGTGGGTAACATAATAACGGTTAAGTGATACAAGTCTAATTAATTAACCCATAGCTGAGGGGAGAAGAGGTGGATCTATGCTTTTCCCAATGTTATTTGCGCGTAAGGTAATAGAAAGAACCAATGAAGAATCGGTGTTTCTACGTGATGTGGCTATAAGCCGTCTCTCTCTAAATGCTGACACGTAACGACGTGGTTTCCAAAACGACGCCGAACCTAAAACGATATAAACAAATCGATCATCGAGTTGAATGAAGCATACGCGTGTGCAAGTGTGTGGTGCTACAAAATCCCATTGTTTTTAAAAGCAATTACGAGCTTAATGTAATGCAAAGATTTGCCGCTATCATTTTGGAACAAATCAACTGGAAAATTACTAATTTGAAAAAGATATTACCTATTATCTAATTAATAATTCATTGTCATCTTGAAAGAAATTCAATGCGTTACCTCGAATATATTAAATTTTTATAACTTTTATTTTTCAATAATTTCTTTCGAATTTAAAATATAATTGTGAGTAAATTTCCCAAAGTTCATATGTTTAACCTGCTTTATTCAAATATTTCCGAATATTTCAATAATTATCGTAATATGGATGCTGTTTTTATAATAGCTTATTGTTTGAACAAAAAAATGCATATACAGCATATCCACATATCGCGAAATTTTTTTTTGTTTGATTTTAACGGGCACTTAAGCCTAAATCTTACTTATAAAACGCAGATTGTGTGTGTGTGTGTGTGTGTTTATATATTGGATCGGATTTCCTACATTTTTCAAACGATTTCAACAAAACTTCACAGGACTGCGTAAAATTACCTTGCGGTCGTTCTGACAGCGCCAAAAATTGGAAAAACACAATTGTTTTTGCACGAAATCAATTTGAAAACACGATAAAACACGATTCTGTCGCCAGAAAGAAAGGGGGACAACTCATATCAAGTTATACATATAAAACCCGGGTTGTGTGTGTGTGTGTGTGTGTGTGTGTGTGTGTGTTTATACATGGGATCGGATTTTTCAAGCGATTTTAACAAAATTTCACTTTTTTTGGCAGGTAGTGTTTCTTATTGTCTTGCACACTTTTTTCTTATTTTTACATTCAGAATGCTTTAAAAATTCCATTTACAAGACAATTGTTTATAATAAAATTCTATTCAATCGTAGACTCATAACGATTGAAAACAATGTTTTTGTTTGAGTTTGGGTTTGACCAATTCGTAAAAAAAAATCTAATTAAGACATGCGTGTCCGTCAACCTTAAACAATAATCTTTGTCAATTTTATTTTTCAGTCTTTATGATGGTCGATACTTGATCTATCTCTTACTGTTACATCCCCGGGCAACGCCGGGCTCTACTGCTAGTAATATATATATATATATATAAGGTGACCTGGTGATTGATTTTGGCATGAAACATTATGTCTTATCTAAGTGTTGACTTCAATGGTCACTTATATATATATATATATATATATATATATATATATGTGGGTATTACATAAAAATTATTTTTAGCGAATATCCATATTTGAGTAGATGCGCTGTTGTTTATTTATTAAACAGTACATTTACTTATTTCGTTGACTGTTCTGAATATTAGAGAAATCTTATTAACGAAAAAAATATTCGCTATGAACAAGCGTTCTCTTTGGCAGGGGAATACTGTCGCTAGCTTCAACGTGCTTTAATTGTCTCGGAGACGAAGTGTATCGATGATAAATCAAGGCTGAATCGTGCCTTATAAATGCAAATGTTTCTCAGACTCCCGAAATTTACATATCCACTCAGTTTCGTATCCTCTCGAAAAGAAATTTCTAAAGATATGATGATTTTTTTTGTTTATTACTCGGCAGATTTTGTTACTTAAATGTCATTGTTACTATTTTAATCAGCTTTCTCGGTGATTCAAGCTGGTAGTCGAAAATAAATAAATATACTGTATACTAAATTAACATTGCCTACTGTAATGTGGGTATCCACTAAAAGTAAAGTTTAAGAAATATTTTTCAAATTAAAATTTCATCACTTCTAATATATATATATATATATATATATATATATATATATAGGGTGCGATGGGTAAATTGACACAATTTTATATGTTTAATTGCGCAAATGTGCTTTGTTTTTAATTTTGTCGACTGCACAACGGACATCATAATGAGACAAAGAGCACAATATCGCTATTCACTCCGCCAAAAATATGGAATCGGCATGCTCTACTACTTGACATCTTGTTCAGAAGCTCCAATATGAATATTTCAGAGGATTTGGGTGTGAATCTGAGTACAATGCAGAGAATTCGGAAGAAGTTGGATCAGTCTAATGGTGATTACGAAGGTGCGAACGCTCAGAACGATCGGTCTGATTATTTTGATACAAAAAGAATTCCCGAATTTGTTGGTGAGGGCCTACATCACGTGCCTTGAGGAGGTAGCACTGCTCTGGGCTATGAGTGTGACTGCTGGAAGACCAATGTCTGGCAACAGGACATTGCAATATGCCACACATGCAAGAGAACCCAGTTATGGCTGTCAGATAATTTTTGCGATCACATCATCACTTACATTTGGTCACCTAACCCTTCAGTCTAAAACCCTTTGATTATTATGTGCGGGGCTCAGCTGAGCGATAGAGCAACAAAATTCACTGTAACACCAAGCATTAACTGAAGGGAAGGATTATGACAGCATTTATCAACTAAAATATGGAGACCGCCCAGAAGATATTACGAATTTACTCTTTAGCATTTCAACGTAATTTTGTGCAATTTTGACAAATATATCTGTTAAAATGAGATGTCAGTGTCAGTGTCATTTTCATTTTTGCGTAATTTAAACGAAAACTTACCCATCGCATCATATATATATGTATGTATGTATGTATATATATATATATATATATATATATATATATATATATATATATATATATATATATATATAAATATATGTTAATTTTGTATTTACATAGTTCATAGAAAACACTTGATTATAATTCAAGACATTATCGTTACTTATCACACATTACTGCACACAAAACGTATTCGATATAATCAAATGAGTTTTTTCTGCCGCTATGACGGGCGATTGTATGAATTTATATTAAATCTGCGAAACGATTATAAGCTTTGACGAGTCAGTCAATGAAATGGTAAAACCCACTATCTCCAGGGGATCTCCAAACAAAACTGCAATAACTGACTTGTTAAATAAATGCCGTTTCGTATTTTAATGAAGAAAGTTGAATAGATAAAAAGTGCTTTATAAATGTTGGCTTTGTAGCTTATCCCGTATGTCATATTTAGTTATTACATTGATTGATTTGTTCTTTTTACGGCATATCGACATTTTGTAGATTATTTTAAGGCGAGACAATATTAGATTTGAAGTACATTTTAGGGATATTAATTAATTGATGACAGAATTCCTACTGATTATTCCTCAACGTCTTGCAATCTACGACTGCTCGCGGTCGTAAGGGAAGCGACCCCGCGGTCTTCAAGCGGGAGACGAAGGGGGAGAAGTGAAGCAGGCTCCTCCTGCGACGTCCCGGTTTCCTTCGCGTAAGAAACGGGCAATTCTTTCATGAAGAAAGAACGACGCGTTGGACGGTGAGATGCCTCTCGACTATCAAGTGAGAAGACATGCCATTTTCCGGCTCTCGACCGGACGGGGCCCCGAGACAAGGGATCCCGAGGCCGCAATGTGCGTTCGAGGTGTCGATGTTCACTGAGTCCTGCAATTCGCATCAGTTTTCGCGGCTGGCCGCGCTCTTCATCGACGGACGAGCCGAGTGATCCCCCGTCCAGGGTTTTGTTTTTGTTATAAGTTTTTTCGTGACAGGTTAAAAAAGTGTGCGAGGAAAAACAAGGAGGCCGAGTTGTTGCGCGCGCGACCGATACGGTAGCAGTCCACAGCAGACTGGCACTCCGGCAACCACCACAATTTTGTCGGGGACATTGACGGCGGCCAGGACCGTACACATGACCACGTCGACGTCGGAGGGAGACGGAGGCTGGTCTGCGGCATCCGTCTCGCGATCGTGGCCGGCGGTAGCGGCAGCGCCCCTCGAATCGCGTGCGCATCTAACCGAACTCGACAACTGGGTGAGAAGACGTATATTCATAAATAATTCAAGTGACTCGTGTCCCACTAGTATTGGTTCTCATGTGATCACTGAGGTAAAGCAACGCTGGGCCTGGTCAGTACCTAGAGGGAAGATGGCTTTTGAATAACAACTACAGTAATCTTGGATATTTAGTGGATAACGTCTTGGAATTGGATGTCTGATAGGCGCGTTCCATTTCCAGTTGGCTTCATTGCATTCACATTCGCGCATATACCCGACTTGAAGTAATCAGCAAAGGTTATAACCCGTTAAAAAGAAAGCAAATAAATTTAATCTGGTAGCCAACAAGAACGAGAAAGCTCTGCAGTAATGGAAGGGAGAGAAGTGATAAATTCATATCTTTCCACTGGATGTCTGCTCAAAGGTTGAATGAACACTACTGCAATTCGAACTCGATCCTCCGAAGTCGCGTTCGCGCCACTAACCATTAAAGTGATTTATACGAATGTGCTAGATAAATATATTTCCAAAACGATGATATGTTAACAAAACTTACTGTTAAATGGTCATGAAGCGTGACTTAGCCTATCTGAAATAACCAACATTGGAAGTATCCTTTTAAAACAGGTTAGTGGTAATTTAGCAGGTGATATATGGTAGTCAGGAGAATATGACCATAAAAAATAACACCCACTTTACACCTTTTCTTTAGAAAAAATGTCCTCTTGGGCACTGACGCAGAAATCTCAAAATGAGTTCTCTTCACATAATAGCAGCGGCAAGAATTCTTAATACGCACAGTATGCCAGTTTCACTAAAATTTGGTTAGCACCCAATATATTATATATGTCTAAAGTATATCAGTCCTGTTTCTTTCTATTATTGTTCTGGTCTTCTTTCATGTTATTCTAGTAATTGTTAATTTTAATGTATATTATGCCATTTATATATATATATATATATATTATCATTATTAATATTATTACAAAATATAATTTGCACTACCCATCACTTGAATTGTTAAGATGTCGACTGCATTCAATACGTTTAAAATATCTGTAGTCGAAATAATGTGCTTCTGTAGACCTCTTCAGATTTTTATAGTTAAATGAACACCAGAAGATGGCCGGAGAATAGACAAATGTAAACTTGCGATAAACACAAGGATGATGTATAAAGTAATACTGAAAAAAATTAATGCCTTTTAACAACACCTAGCTTTAGACTTTCGGGCAAATGTTCAACTTTTATCATTTATACAAACATATGCACTCGTCTTTCAAATTTTTGCCTCAGGAATTTGGACTGTTATAGCCGCCAGCATTTTTATGTTTCTGTTGTATTCATTAATATTCGAACTGAACATTTTACGCATTCAGAGAGGCTAAGCAATTCTGATTTCACGGTCATTTCTAGAGGATATCTTGTATTTGGAAAGTGTATCCTGTGGCCATCTATTTACAGCCCCATCAGGTTGAAACTCAGGTTCACGTACGAGCACCGAAGTTAAGCAATGTCGAGCCTGGTTGCTAGCTAGTTGTGTGACCGCTTGGAAATTTCAGGTGCTGTTAGCTGTGATGGGCCTGTTTTATAATTAATAATAGCACAGAAATTTTAATCTGAGAGCCGAGTTCATTTCCTCTTTCAAAACGATATGAATACACCCAATTATGGCTTAATTAAGATTTGTGTCAATAAACCCTTATCTAAAAAAGTTTTAAAATCTAAAAATATTCACTGACTTTAAATAAACTACAAAGTTGTGATAAGCCGTAGAAAACGAATAGATCAAGCATACATTTAACGTCTTACTTTGCAACCAAATGATTGGACTCACAGCCACCAATTAAACAGCATTGCATAATTAAGTTTATATACATTTGACTAGAGAAGAAAATCGGAGGTTGAAATTTCTACAGCGAAAACCTTGTATCTGTTTTCTGACCAAAATACTGTATAACGGCTGAATTGTTATGAGTAGAGTAGCCAAAATTAGAACAAGGAAGTAGAAGGCTTTCATTTTTGGAGTAACATGTCTCTTCATGAGATAGGTGTCGAGGCTCATCATAACTTTCCTTTGTAACTATTATTTATTTTCCGATTCAGCATATCTATCACATCCTGTTCTGCCAGCTATTTACATTCGTCAGGTAGGTTACGTGCTGACTTCCATATGCGATGTTTGTGTTAAATTTTTGAGACACTTATCTAAATTTCAGCTGATATTGTCTAAGCAAAATTATATTTTTTTTGTTTCCATTATCCTTAAAAGTTTGTCGTCATTCACAAGATTATGCCGTGATATTGTCAGCATCCTTTTGGATAATCACAGTTTTGCTACCTCCTGTCTCTTCTTCATCAATGAGTATAGTAATCAGCTTTCTCTGCCATATAGAAAGATGGATATTTCATAAAATGTCAGTAATCATTTCTTTGTTTCTAATGAATATCTCATGTTTTCTAATACTTTACTGAACATTTCGAAGACAACTTCCGGCATTTCAATACGCATTAGGATTTCAGTGACACATTCCTGTCCTCTGTTAAAACACTTTACATATATTTAAAATATCTTACTTGACTGATTTTGACAACTTTAATCTATACTTCGAATGTTTAGCTTTTTCTCTTGCTGAAAACCAAGGATTCTGTCTTCTTACAAGTCATGACTACTTCTTTCTTCACGCTTTCCTTTACTACATCTTCTCGGTGTCCCTGCAGTTTACTCACCGTGTCTGCTATCATCACTGTATCAACTCCCTACTTTGTGGTGTTAAGATTGTGTAAGTCAATAAAAAATCCTGGTAAAACTTTTAGTGTTATAGGTATCACTCCGCCGTAAATCTGAACATTAAAAGACGCATACTTGTCTTACAACTTATTTCTATTTTTACCCATTGACCGAACGCATTTTCCATCTGTATGAGGGCGTACCGCTCCAAGTGTAAGTTCTGAATGATTCTAATAGCATTTCAATGGAAATAAAACTTTCCCTGTAGTTGAAATATTTCTTTTGCATCTGTCTATATTTCTGAGATGAGGTATTATGTACAATATTTACATTATTCGGACTATTGTCCACATTTTGTGTCCATATTTATTCCAGAGTTTCGGCCTTCTTCTGGTGGTTGGAATGACGAGCTGAACCCTTTATTTCGCTCACTGGCACTGTGGATAAAGGCGTTAGTTAGATCCAGTGACAGGACCCAAAGACTCTTAGTTCAGTACCCGCTTGAGGCAGTAGATAACCTGGAGATGAGAATTAACAGGAGAAAACTGACAACTGACATCCATTAAACATGGCACATGCAACCAGAACAAACTAACCCAGTGAGCGAAATAAAGGGTTCAGTTTGACATTCCAAACATCTGAAAAAGGCCGGAGCGTACAACGGCTGAAACGTTGCAATAAATATGGCGACTAAATGAGGAAAATAGCCCGAATAATGTAAATAGGGTAAATATTGCTTACTTTATTCCACGGTTTTATATATTCTATAAATACTTTACATTTTTATTACTCATTGTTATAGTAAGATAAGTGTAAATATTGCATTCTATGTCCCAGTGTCCTCAACATAATAACAATGTCCTTGTCCCTTCTCCAGTCTGTAAAACTAAAGAATAATAGGAAAGGACATGTTGAATCTCTTAGGAAGCGTCTCCAGCTGTTATAGAAGCCGAATTTTATCGACGAGTGTGGGTTTAAATTTTCATACACTGACTATGAAAGAATGATGCTAGACCTATGGAATCTTGCATGCATTAATATCACCTGTTCTTACTAATGTGTGCATTGTTTCTTTCAAGGTAAACTGACATCTAACTGTTAAAAAAACACTGCAAATATAACTATTACGTACTTCCCACGGAAACTGACAAAATTTGGCATCGTGATATATATCAAGTACTTAGAAATAATTTCAAAGGACATTCACACAAAGGCATGTTTCTTACATTGGGGGATGATGCTCCACCATTATCAATGGTGCAAAACTTGGGATGCGAATTTGGGAGTTTATTTTAGGAAGATTCTTGAAGAAAACCTACGGTCTGAAATTCTTCCACCAGCGATGAAAACATTGGTCGTTTTCAACATAATTTTATGGTTGATGGCCGATTGAGTGAAAATCAAATAGCTGATGATATTCGTATATCTCGTGTAGTGGTGAGAATACTTTGTACAATGAAATTTGCATGACGAAGGTTTTTTTTTCAGTGGGCTCCAGGTCTCCAAGCATCTAATCAAAAACGCAAGCGACTGCCCAAATCAAGAGAAAATTCTTACATTGAGTCCGATCCAGCTGGTTTCTTTGATGCGTATTGGATTCATCACTTGGAATCAGATACAAAGAAACCGTCTATGTAGTGAAATCATCTCCCGTAATCTGGTATAAAGTAGACCAACGTCGTTTTATCTGATGGGAAGGGGGTGGCCTCAGCTTTTTTGGGCTGCAAATATGTTTATTGGTTATCTTCAAAAGGGTCAAACGATCAATGGTGATTACTGGAAACTTGCTGAGGAAGTTACAAAAGTTTATCAAGACAAAACGCTCATTTAAAAAGAAGGAAAGCATATTGTTTCATCAGGAAAATGTTGCTGTACAGCAGTCGGTAGTTTCATGACAAAACAAATGACTGCGAATCAGTATCACAGTGATGATGGCGTCATATCTACTGTTGATGACATTTTTTACCAACAAGATGGTCTTTTTGAACAGTCACATATCTGTTTACTTGATATTGATTAACACTGTTTCGAATATTATCCCATCACTCTTTCATGAGCAACCTATAAACTTTTCAGCCTGCCCACGTAAAATGAATATACAAGGTAACGATAAAAGTACGTTTTTGCGTCGAATGGGACGAATTCCACAGCCGCATCAAGTCACCAAATAGTTCATGTCTATGGATATAACGTTGTCAGTAGAAGCATCATCCGCTATTGGTTTCAGAATTTGAGATAGGGCTGTTTTCTCTTTGCTGTGAACTCCGTAGTGACTGGCCACAGGTCCTGAAAGATGAGGATCTGAAGGCGGCCAGAGAGAATTAAAAAAAAATAAAATTGTGGTGAGCTCGAACAAGTTGGGCAAGTTGTTACCCTTCACCCTGTCGGAAGGCAACATTCAGTAACATGTGACATTCTATTTCATGTAGCTTTCTCAGCAACAAAAAAAGCACATACTGGATATAGTGTTCACCACTGGCGAAAAGCGGTTCCCATATGACACACCAGGCTGTGCAAAATATTGGTTATCAAGACCACATCTCGACCCACGAACAATCATGATCCTTATATGCTGTACTATTCGAAAAGTGGTGTTACCAACGGCCCAAACCTACACTGTTTACCTGTACTGGCAGCAGTTGGAGCAAGCACTGAAACTAGCGCCCGGATTGGTGAATTGCAAATGTGTTCAGTTCCTTCATGACAATGTCACGCTTCATGCGACACGGGATACAATACGGCGACTTGGCTAAGCGACATTATGTCTTCCGCCTTATTTCCCTGTCTTGCACCAACAGATTACTACCTATCAACTTCGTGGGAAATCCCTCGTAAATGAGGCAGAATTGTGGCAGGCACTCAAAAGCATCTTTGTGTCGAAGACACCGGATTTTTACCGCAAGGGTATTGCACATCTTGAGGCATGTCTTGGATGCCGATGGGGTTTCCTTTGACGACTAAGTGTATGCTAAATTTGCTGCAAAACTTTTTTTTAATTAATAAAAAAACGCCAGTAAATTTTTGGTCACGTTCTACATCCCTTAAGCTGAACGTGCTGTCCTCTGAATAACTGAAATGATTAAATGATTTTTGCTGATAATATATTTTCAAAACTGGGAAGGTGATAATCAAGCGTTCTTATGAACTGAGATTAAAACCAGATTCGTAGTTCAAATAAAGCGTCGGGTTCTTTTATACTTTTTTACTATTTAAAAAAATGAAAATAACTATAAAATTAGAAAGGATTTGGTTAAAGTTACTGCAAAAGAGAAAACGTCCACTTTAATATATTTGAAATGTTATTTTAGTTATTATTATTATTAGTAGTAGTAGTATCATTATTATTGTTAGAAATATGTGAAAACTGGGCGTGCTTTCTATTTGAATTTTCTGATCAATAATTATTAAGTTAAATGATTGGCTAAGCTCCTTGTATACAAAGACAAAATACACGTTTTATTTTCCCATTTTGCATCCTTAAATATTTGTGCGTAATATCTCTTGTAGCATAACTACGGTCGATAATGGTTGTGTCCCCATTTACATAAATACAGTAGTAAATATTGTATATTGGTCCGCAGTCGGAGATTCAACCAGCGTTGAAGTCCTTACCAGTCCTGATACGACCGTTTTTCTGCCAACCTAGGAAATTCGTTTTTTTGTTTTTACAAACTCTGTTTTAGTTAAATTCTGATTTATTTTACTTTTATACGTTCTCTTTTACTGAATGTTATTTGACTTTTTTTCTTTTTCAATTTATTACATTCCCATTTGGACTTTTTCCTTTATTTTTATTTATTCTTCTATTATTAGATTTTGATTGTTAATGTTAAGTATCCT